CTCTCTTGACTATAAATGGTCTTTGCCGAGGACAGGGTGGAGGACAGGTTTGAAGAGCGAGGAAGCGCTCCCTCAAGCTGATGCGCCCCCCTGGGAAGAGCAGAGTCCAGATGAACAGGACCATTTCTAGAGCACGGATCCCCAGGGAGGGGAGAGGTCTGGGTTCGAGCCTTACCTCTCTCCATGGTTTTTGCTCCCGTCGTTGGACCTCGACCAACACAGTGCTTTAGCCCTTGCAGTCTGGCAAGTCCCATTGACCTCAGAGACTTCAGCTTGGTGCTGAAATTAAACGCAAGGCCCAGAATCGGGGCCGGTCCCCAGCCCTTCCCCAGGCAGCCTTTTCAGGAATACACAGTCCCTTTCTTCCATGGACCTTCTCCTTTTTCCACAGCAGTTGCTGTCTCAGAGAGGGGAGTGAGGGACACACAACCGCTGATATTTCTGAAGTGTTAGAAAAATCCCATTCTTCTAGTAACCCTCTAAAATACAGCCATTACCCAGTCGATCAAGAGCTAAAGCATTATGACCTTCTCCACAGCAGAGTGGAGGGTTTAAATTTATGAGCTAGCCTTTGATGTCTGCAGGCTTCATGTGGTACAAAACCTTCTGCTTTGATGTTACTTTTAAAAGAGAGGAAACTCAGGTGTGCAGTGCACGAGTCCCAGGGGGGGACTGGGATCTGGCCACCCGCAACCGCAGGCACAGGGACTGAGCTCTAAAGCAGCTACTTTCGCCCAATTGAGCAAAAGTAGAAAACACGACCTGCAACGGAGAGAAAATATGACCAAACTTGTCTCACCCTCACCAGCTTCCCCCAGACCAAACCCACCTTTGCTCTGCCTGTGGAGACCCAGGCACTCACAGCCCCGAGTATTCCCACGGGAGCTCCAGACCTGACCTCAAAGGCGAAGAGGATCCTGCCCTTGCCCGTCCCTCTCCTCCTGGCGACCACCAGCCATGGCTGAGAAACTCCCCCACTTCAGGAGGCCACAGGAGGGGTAAGGAAGCCCGTCTCTCTGCCCCGCCAGCGATGTGACCCTCCTGCCCGAGCTCTCCACCGTGGGCGACACCGGCGCCTTGCACAGCAGCGGCAGGAAGGTCTCAGCCGCACGGAGGGACCTGCCACGCTCTCCTACCTTACGCAGCACTTGGGCCATGGCTTCTCCTATCCATCCCAGCATCCCCACGGCTTTGCCAACAGGCTGAGCCCTTCTCCCAGGGCCTGACAGAGCTGCTAGCAGGGACAGGCTCCTCTCCATCCCCAAGCTCACTTTGCCTCCCCCTTCACTTTTCCCTGCCTCCCCTCCCCTCTCCCGCCTCCTCCCATGGGGAGTTTCCCAGCAGCTCAGTAATTAGCATCATCATCACCAAGGCTAATAACACCACCACAGCTCCTGCCATCCGAAGCTCAAACAACTTCACACCATCATCACGCCTCTGTAACCTCCCCAGGGTAGGCAGGGAAGCAGCATTACCCCATCACGCCGATGGGGAAGAGGGAGGTAAACAAGAGGCAGTCGGTGGCAGAGATGGGCAGCGAACCCGGGAGCTCTGACTCAGGCACCGCACCCGCAGGACCTTCCCGTCCCAGGGACCTGCCCACTGCAGTGAGGCCCCTTTGGAAGGGGGTCAGCGGCTGCGTTGACTTATCCAGAGATTGTATCACTTGGCTTGGGGCCTGGGAGACCTGGGATGAGGTTTTTTCCTGGGCATCCCTCTGCACAGCCTGGGTTCTCCTCTGCAAAACGACTGTGGGAGAGCGGCACACACGGCTGCGTGTGAGGTAGGAGTTCACGCCTTCGGATGGGACAGCGAGTATCGTGGCATCCCATAAAAGCACCTTAGATCAACCATTAGAGCTCACCTCTAATTAAGGACTTGCTGTTTACTGACGGATTAAAGAGGATTTTTGCTTTGAGCATTCACAAAATGAGGAATCGGGGTGGGATTCTTGTCTGAACAACCTGACCAAGGAAATCTCTCCCATCTTAGGTGGAGTTTGCTACGTTTGATTTAAAAAGTCTCACGTGGATGGGAATTATATCTTCTCAAAAAAGCCCACCCACACACCCGTACAACAGACCGATGCGTCCCTGGTAGCCCCCTGAACAGGCAGGGCCGCGTGCAGAACACAAGGCGATGGGCTGCTTTGCTTTTGGCAAGTACCTGCGAGGCGGCATTGACTTTAAACGTTCTGAGGTCTGGCCTACAAAGTCAGGCTGGCGTAACTGTCAGCCAGGAGCACCAACACAAACCAAAATTCAGGCGAAGTGACCCAGCCTCGTCCACCAGAACATGCTGCAGAGACATTCTCCTGGCAAGAGACCTTTTCTGGAGGGTATTTCATGTGTGGCAGGGCACGCTCTGAAGACAGCTAGCTGGTGTAAGCCATGTACCGGCAAGGCTCTGCTGCCTGCAACGGGGGTGACGGCCCATTTACTCCAACGCCTGGACAAACAGCCCACATGCAGCACCGCCAGGCACGGCGGGGATCAGGGCAGCACTTCAAATGCCTCCTGAGCCTCTCCAGCTCTGGCTTCTGAGGGTGTTTCAGAAAACTTTAGGAAAGGGGATATCAATACACCTGCCTTCACTTTGCGGGTGCCCAGGCAGAGGCAAAGCCCAGTTGGGAGCTCTGGCCTCCTTGGCAAGGAAGGGTGGCAGGATGCCCCGCCGAGAGCAGCGCTGGGAGGCTTTGGCGTCCTGCCTGCATTTTGCCAAACACCCCTCTGCCGTTCAGAGCATCTGCCTACAAAGACCAACCCCGATCACGCTACGTAACTCTGCATGGTTACTGGCCTGAAGAAAAACCCAATGAAACACTTGCCACTGTCATTTTTATGGGATATGGACTATGGTCCATTAGACACCAAATAACGGGCATTCTTTAAAACATTAAGACAGGCAGTCACTCTCCTCCAGCCATGAGCACTGTTGAGCGCGTTGACCTATTCTCTCTTGGGATAAAACTAGACATGTTTAGTGTCTGCAAGGAGGAAGATACCATTTTTTTCCACGTACTGCTGCTGTTGGATTCACGCTCGGCTGTTTCACTACCACGTGCACCAGGCATGCCTGGGAACTGAACTAAAAACGGGCTCTTGGGGCTCAGCTCGCAAATCCAGAGCAAGCGGGGAGCTAACACACACACACTGCAAAGTCAGGGCACACAGGGAAGAGGCCTTGGGAGAACAGACGGTGAAAGAATCAGACGCAGCAGTCAGGTAGGGCCTGAGCCACCCCTCTGCAAGAGCAAACCCTGGGCTTTGTGTCCCTGCTGAGTGGTCACCCACGCCCTGAAGGCTGGGAGGAGCAGCGTGTCCCTCGCCTGCTCACACACTCCCATCGGAGTCAGGACCAGCACCAAGCCCAGGTGTCTGAAAGGCACCTCCTGTGACTGGGGTGTGTATGTCTACGCTCACTCGTGCAGGGGCAGTCACCAACACCCCACGGGCACTGTCACAAGGTCGCCGGTGGTTGGTGATGCCCCACGGGGCCTTTTCTTAGACACAGTCTATGTACTCACAACTACGCTCCTGAGGAATGCTTTTTGCCTGGCTCTTGATGGAGCATGACTTTTGTTTGGTTTCTGGCTGAATGTCTGAGTTAAAAATACAAGGCTATTTCTGGCAGAAGCTGGGTTTTTTTCTGCCTTTGTATTGCCTTGGATGCCCCCGTGCTGCTGTCTCCTTTCTGGCTCAGATGAGCTTTGTTTTCCTTCTCAATGATCATGTTTGCACCGGTGAGCAGTAGGAAATGCTTTTCCTATTAGAACATTTCCACGAGCACTGTTGGGAATGAAGAATGAGCTCAGAAGTCTAAAATAAACCTCGTTGGTGTAAAGATCTTGTCTCCCGTGGCCAGAGAACTGAAAATCAGCAATGTCTGTGGTCAAAAAGGGATGTGTATGTGCGCACGTGCACACAGGTACAGCAGGAGATGTTCTCCCCGTGACCTGCAGACCAGGAACAAACAACTCAGTGACAGAAACACTTTCAAGCATCCCCACTCTACAGACAGGCTTCATCCCAAGCTTTACAGCTCAGACCCTTTCTTACCCAGCCAGAAAATTTTTTATTTCTCTTTTCTTAAATGCCAAGAAAAAATAGGCCTATCTTTCCTGGCTTGGATTTATTCCACCTGGAATCACTGCATGACCACAGCACTGTGACGGTGTGTTACAGCCTTATAAAGTAAGAGCCCAAATACTTTTGAACACCCATGTGATCATTAAATCTTTGCTGTTACGCTCCATCTCCTGGCAACAAGCAGCTGAGGACTTGGGGCTGCTCGCTTGAGATCGCCGAGTTCAAGTACCTCCGAGCCCCCTCCCGTGGTGCAGAAACACGCCGTGTCCCTGTCTCCAGGACCAAGATCAGAACCAGCACAGCCGCAGGAAGCCTCCCCCGGTACATCGTATTTGCCGTGTATCACAACATAAACATCAACACAACCAGAAGATAACAGCCTAACAAACACCTCCATTGTTCAGGCTAAAGACACCAGAAAGGTATGTGGGGAGTTTTCCAGGGCACGGACCCCCACCACCTTCTGGGGAGCCGAGCACAGGCTGAGTCAGAGCTCTCCAACACCCAACACAGGACCTGCTGCGTGCCCACAACCCGTAAATCATTGGCATCAGGGCCAGCTCCTCTTGCCAGCTTCTGCTCTTTGGGAAGCATGCTCCACCTAACTTGCTTCCAAAGAGAAGCTCCTAGACAATGGTTTTCTATCATCTCTGCCTCATGACTGTTAAATTCAGAGACCACTCTGCACATAGCTACTCTGGAGACCATCAGCGTGATCAGGAGATGAGAGGGAGCAGGACCTAAGATTTGGCAAAGGCAACCAGCATCTTTGGCTGCTCACCAAAAACCTGAAAAGGGCTCTGTTTCTTGAAGGCAACAAGCCCACTTCTCATGCAACCCCAGGAGGCTGATCAAGCCACGCCTCACAAAGCGAGGCGTTCAAATTGCTGTGTTCTTCTGGAATTCAAGGCATCACATCATGACAATCCCGAACTCAGGAACGTTCAGGTCTAGACTCCCGCTCTTCAAGAGAAGGTTACAAATACCACTGCTAAATACCAAGCTCCCATAAACCGGTTCATGATGGAGGTTGGTACCATTGTTCTGTTAAAGGAACAGTGAAGCTGAGGCTCAAAAAGGCAAAATGATTTGCCTACAATTGCCCAAACAATCAACAATAGATGCAGGCTCTGGTTTCCACTGCCACCCCCATACTGGGTTAAAAATGAGGTAAGACGAGCATGCTATAAGAAACTCCCAGATCAGTACTGGAGGAAAAAAAACCATCATCTTCCTACCGACTGTGACACTTGGACTCTGACTTCGCTGGTATCCAATGGCGATGTACTCGACCCCTGGGACTTTCTGTCTGAACTGGACTGGTGCTCCCGGTATTTCTTTGACCTCGCAGGTAATGACAAGAACTCTTTTCCAGAGATCTTCAGGTCTCCCACATGATGGCTGTCCCCATTCTGGTCCTTGGGAAAGCAAGAAACAGTCATTGCACAAATTGCCTGCCTCAGGTTTACGTGGAGATCTGTTGGCAAGTATCTACAGAACAGAAGACGCACAGAAGTAGTAAGTTAACGTGGAGTTTAGATGGTGTGAGTTGCCACTTGTCATGTGCAGGGTTGAATGAGGACATTCTGTCTAACTCTGCAGCGTGTGATTTTAATGAGAGGAGAGGAAGCATCACCCAAACGACATGCAGTAGTCAACTCCTCCACAGGGAGAAGCAGAACCCTCTTAAAAAATCTAGGTATGCAAACCAGCATGACTGGTTTATTTACAGGCATAGGCAATGATGGAGGAAAGGTCCAGAAGCAGTCGCTGCTGCTAGTGACTTCTGGCAACTGCACTCATAAAAACCTCTTCCAAACGAAGTGGCAAGCTCATCTTGCCCGGGATACCGAACTCTTGGCACAAGTCCCTCCACTTGCTGTATCTTCGCTTCTTCCCAGCACCCAGCTGTGCAGCAGCCCACACCAAACCACGGATAACCCGACCGTGCCCCAGGGAACACAGCCATGCTAGATGCTCCACAGCATTCCCCACCTCTAGGATTTGGCTCCCACCACACACAGAGCATTGCCTGCCTCAGTGCCTCCCACGGTCTTCAGCAAGAAGGACCCTCACCCAACGGTTTCCTAAAAGGCAGATTAACACGAGTGGCTGGAGTCCCACTCAGCTCTTTGGCCAGCCCTCATGATACTAGAAGCACGTGGGGACCGCAGGGTACCGTGACTAACCACAGCAGATGGTTACAAGCAGTGCCCTGTTCTCTCACTGCTGTCCTCCTCTGCTCAGTGCTCCCGTGGCCATACAAAAGACAGGATCATCACCCCCGTCTAACACATGGGGAAACTGAGGTGACAGAGATTACACATATCTTGAGTTCTGGGGTTTGTCTCTTCTCACTGCAGCTCCTCACTCTGCTTTTCCAGGCCCTGCCTTGTGCCTGGCTCCTCCATTCTCACCCCTCCCCATACGATGAGCACAACTCTACCCCTTCTCTGTCAAAAGGCTCAGGTTAATGGCCCTGCCTGCACTATCACAACAGCCTCGTTACTGCTGTCAGGCAGATGCAGCCCTCCCACAGAAGCACCAGCAGGAACATTCAGCATTTCGCTCCACAGACACTTATTAAAGGCACCAGGCACTTTACATGTAACCGGTGGGAGCTGAGGGCCTAAACCTGCTTGACGCTTTGGTGTTTCCAGGCTGCAAACCACCTTTTTATCACGCACAAAGCGCTGAGGGGACTCCCCAGGGCAGCCTCATTGCAGCAGCCACCTGAAGGTGAAAGAAGCTCAAGCACAGCTCAGGAGATGACCCAAGTGCTCATGGGGTTGAGATTTTAGGGCACATACACCAGAAAGCCAAGGACGCTGAACAGGATCCGAATTCACAGCACACCAACAGCACAGTAGCATGCTGTAGTCAAAAGGACTTCTCCATTCCTCACAATGCAGACAGGAATAGGGAGAACAAGGAGGAGAAATCCGTTTCCCTAGATGCTATTGATGGGACCAACTGCAGCCAGGCTGGCAGCCACATTTTGAAAAGCTGCCACAACAGTAGATTTCAGAACCAGAAAGAAACTGCCTTCCAATACCTTTGCTGCCTTAGTTAGAGGACCCAAACTGTTCAGCTCATGACAAAAAGAATAGATGACTCAATTATGGCATGTAAGCACCTTCGGGGTAAAAACCAGCATGCGATAAAGAGATTTTTAGTCTGGTAGAGAGAGGAATAAACAAGAACCAATGGCTGGGAATTAAAGCCAGAGAAGCTTTAAACAAGGAACAAGGACAGGTTGGAGAGAGTGGGATGTCAGGGAAGCGGCGTTCCCGCTGTCTGCTGGGGCCTTCAGAGCTGACACGGGGGCATCTTGGCACATACACGCTGCCCAACGGCGTTGGAGAAGAGCTCCTGGCCTGTGCGGTAACAGGGGTCCCTGCTGACCCTGAAGGCTATCTCTGGCAGAGAAGGTGAGACAATAACGAGAGCGTGCTGGAGAGATCACAGTTCACCCCACTGATTTATTCTCTACAGTCTTATCACCCTCACCATAGCAAGCGTAAAGCAAACAACCCTGTCCCGTGACTGTAATCACTTCTCCCTAGGAACCACAGCAGGGGAGAGGAAGGGGAATTGCATCCAAAACGCCCTGGCAAGGAGAGGTGAACTCACCACCCGAGACCACTGCAGGGGGAACAGGACAACTCACGTCTGACTCCATGGTTACAGACTACCCACAGCTCCTGTTTATTCCACCCTCCCTGTGAAATCCCTGAAATCCCACAACTCTGCCTGAACTATTGAACGAGGCTCAGCATTTACAGCGCGGAGTAGGAAACCAACAGCCGTAACAGCATTAGCAGCAAGTCACACGTCAGCAAAACTCTGCCTGCCAGCATCCTCTGGGCCATGCTGCTCCGACGAGGATACACAATCGAATGTCTCCCTGACACGGGGCACCGCTGTCCTGGCTATAGGCACCCCAGAGATAGAGTCACACTGGTTAAAGTGGGTAGGAGCCAAAACAGCCAGTGGGCAGTTGGGAGAATTAATAAAAACACCTAATTGTGCTTGGCATTTCACTCCCAAAGAGATTTAATCCAGGCGGGGGCTTTTGTCTGGTCCTCCCAGTGCTTATAGGGATGTTCAGGCACCCAGACGGTTTTGCAAGCCTGAGGTTGTTTCTCGTTGACCATCTGCACCTACCTGCAACTTGGACATGTTTTTTTTTCCTCTGTGATGCTTCTGTAAAAGGGGAAACGCTCCCTGGGACCCTCGGGAGAGCTGTGCCTGGAAAGCACTGGATGAATGTAAATTATTTGTGCCAAAGACATTCCAAAAGGGCAGAGCACAGCAGCCTGCCTGGCCCCCTCCTCTGGGAACGGGCGTGAGCGAGCCCCATGGCAGCACCACCGCACAGGATTTTCTAAGAAACTTAAATGACTCCTGTAGGTGGAATGGCTCAGTGCCTCGCAGCTGATTGCAGAAACAGCCTTTGCCCTGGGGAGACTGAGAAAATGCTGATCTGCTTGGAGCTGACATTTCCAGCAGTGAACCCGAGCAGAGGCAACCCTTAGAGCCCCCTGGAACAAAACCCTCTGCCTCCTGCAACGCACCATCTCCTGCTTCGGACCTCTGCTTCCCTACTTGTGCTGAACGCAGCACTCGCTGGGCTAATAAGGCACCAAGATTTGCCACCAGCCACTAAAGGGGCTAAAATGCTAACGATTATCCTCTCAATAAAGGGTTGTTTTTTCAAAATAGCATAGAAGTGGCTTTTTCAGCTTTCAGTTGTTAAGTGCCTTTTTAGTCAGACCAGCTGTTCCTCTCCTCCAAGCTCTCTAGAAACCCTCTTTGGTTAATCCCATTGACTCCAATGATATCTGCTAATTGCATGCTTCCCTGCAAATGAAGCCAGTCAACAAGCCATTACAGATTCCTACTGATACTTAATCTTTGAGACCAGACATCTTTGCTTACCTTTTCAGAAGTGAACTTCAGGAGGTCTAAGCTGTCCATGCTGTTCCTTTGGAGTCTCTTTGGCCTGGCTCCTGCAAAACAACACACTCTCACATCAGGAGGGTGTCACTCACTGACAGCACTAATGTCACACCGATAAATTTCAAACCATGGCAGACCCTCCACTCCCGTTAACTACAAAGTCAAAAGGACGGGATGTTACAGTTGTACCGTCCTTGAGATACAACTGGGGTTTTTTTTTTTCTATTGTTTTGGGTCTTTTTCAAAACACTATCGCAGCACAGTCAGCAACAGCTAGGGCTGCGCAAAGCTTTCGCTGTCGAACCGGTGGCTGGGTCACGCTATGACCCTGATCTCAACGGAGGTCTCTGGAATTCAGGAGTTACAAACCCCACTCTAAACCACAAAACTCAGGGGACTGGCATTGAGAAAAATCATAACAAAAATATAGTTTAATACATCTGCGGATACGTTGCTTTATCTTCATGTTTTTAACTTAAAGAATGTATCTGGGACGCAGCTTTGAGCTTTTCTCTACAGTCACAAGGGCTAGAAAACTAAGCGAAGGCACAAATATTTTCTAACTACCAGAGCTCCAACCTCCCAGGAACTGAAACCTTGCCCTGAACCTGACAGAGAAATGAAAATTTGGCAGCATTCACGATGTTCATTTGAGATTTCATAAAATTCATTTTAATGTAGCATTCTAGCACTAACAGAGTGGGTGAAACCCAGTCCAGCTCTGACTCCTGCTTTCCAAACTCTCTCTACCTCCACGTCTCCCTCCAACCTGCTTCCAGCAGCTATCGCCTTGCTCACTAACACAGCCAAGATTGACCAAATGGCCCTGGGATGCCTTCACCACACCTGGGAAAACTCCTGCTCCCCTTCCCTGATCTTTCCTGAAGGTTCAGTTGAGCTGAGCACCACGTGACATCCCACACCAGCAACACCAAACAGGGCAGAAATGAAAGCTTTGGACTCAAGGTCCCATGACAACTTCCAAGCTTCAGGAGAAATCCTGGGGGAGGGTGAATGAACGCATGTGAATTGAAACCCATCCCCGTGCTGAGCCCTGAGAACGGAAACCACTGAGCTTTGTGTGGTTCCTGCAACAGCAAACTCACCAAACCTAAAGATTCCCCGGGTTCCCACCACCACCCAACAGCACCGCTGCTTATGTTACAGCAGCCCCCACGGACCCTGTTCAAACCTGGGGTGCCGCTGAGCTGCTCGTGGACAAACTTACTGAGAGAGAAGACCCAAAATTCATAAACCAATTCAAGGCTGGCTGTAAGCAGAACATGATGATTTAGTGAAAAAAAGCCACCAGCTTGCAGGGATTCCTGCACTAACACCCATCCAGCTCAGCCAGGGCTCTGGATGCGACCACAGTTGTACCTGAACTGCACCAACTCCGGAGACACGGCTGCTTGGAGAAGTTCAACCTTGCTCAGCTTCATGAGACACCAGACAAGCTCAGAGCAGCCAGGACCTCCCTAAGGGTCACGCACATAGATGACATCTTAGTTCTAAATGACCCAAAGTTAATTTCACTGCCCCTCACCGCCCTCAAGTGATTTACTTCTTGCGGCCATAAAGACTCAAATCAGCAAAGTATTTCTGCACGCTTCTGTCTCTCTACTCCTAAAAGCACGTTAGCACCAGCTTCACTTTAAGGTGACTTCATTACAAGGCTTTGAGTTCGGAAGGGACTGGCACCAGGGGTGGCGAATAGGTGCAGAACAGATATTGATGTGAACGCACAGAGAGCGAGGAAAACCTGTAACGATAAGCGGTCGCCATTTCTACCAAACTCTAGCCCCCTTCACACTGCAAAGCCAGTTGCTCGCTTGGCAGCAGCTCAGTAACAACAGGATTTGATCCCCGAAGGTCAGCAACTGCTGCCGACGCTGGCGAGGGTTCACACACGGGGCTAGGAGCGGGCAGGAAAAAAGGACTTGGCTGCCCTCGGCAAAGCAGACAGAACTCTTGACGTTACCATTTTTATCCCAGGCTTTGCTTATGTTTACTAAGAGCTAAGGTATCTTATGTTTGCTAACGTATCTCAAGCACCTCCTGCGAGCAGGATGGGAAAGGCTCGTGCGGTTGGATACCAATAAAATTATTGGTTATTTGGTAGCTGAACACATCTGATGTGCACTCAGCCACGAAGACAGCTGAAATCGTCAAACCTGAGCCCTCTCCCACCATAAAAACTGCTCTCGGTGGGTAGGCACAACCCACCACCCTGCCAGAGACACCAGTTCACACCATACCGGACTCCTCTTCCACGTACTAAATACCGCCCAAGCTTACACCCCCCCAGGGCATCAGTGATACTGGTTTTCTAGCTAGGAGGACGCAGAGCTCTTAAACAAAGCTGAGGTCTTCCAGCAGCTCAGCTCAGTGGGAGGCACAAGACGCCTCACACCCAGCTCCGATCGCTCCACCACACTCCCACCAGCAACCTGTGAGCATCAGCCCAGGAGGTGACCCCAGGTCCCCTCCCACGCTGCCAAACGAGCCAAGGGCTTTTGGCTGCTGCCACGTCGGGCAGGCAGGAGCTCAACGAGAAGGCAGCAGCGTGCTGTGCTCAGCGGCTCCTGCTTATGCACGGTGATATTCCGGACATCGCTATAGCTGCTCCCAGCTTCCCTCAGGATAACCTGTAGTCTTATTTGTGGAGCAGTGAGGTGGGCTGGGATAAAAGCCACCTACAAACACTTAATCAGATGGTACGTCTGCGTTTCAAAGCAATACCCAAGAGGTGAGGCCAGCATCTGGAAGTCAGCGTGCGTCACAGCAGCAGCTTTTAACGGCCACTTCCAGGAAAGCCAGAAAGAAGCAAAGTGTGTCTGATTAGATAAACACACGCTATTTCCAACAGTCTAAAGAGTTGTTAATTACACACCCCTGTCCTCAGGTGCTTTTGTACATTTGCAATAGCATTAAACCACTGGCCAGAAACCATTAATCTCTGACCTGAGAAAACCTGCCTTCTCCTTTGGTTAATTTAATATACGTGGTCAGCTGAGACTACCCCAGCAATTAGGGCGTGCAGAACAAGTTGTCTTTTTCGGTTGTTTTGATGCTGGTGTTCCTCCGCTACCATGTGGATTGCACCTTCAGTTCAGCTAAGAGAAGAGGTTAGGAGTTACAAACCCAACTTCAGAGCCATCCCACTCAGCTATTTTATTCCAGAAGAAAACACAACCAGCGCCAGGGCCAAACGCCGGCCTCGCAAAAGCCCACGGTTCCGCCGTCCCCCCACTCACCACGAGCTGTCCCACAGGCAGAGCAAGCAGCGCTATCAAAATGAGCAGCTAAAAGAATTAAGAGGCCACCCCTCAGTCAGGGCTATCGTAAACTAGATCGACACAGGCAGCAATTCCCACCACGCTCGCGGAAGCTTCTCCCCTTCGCTCCACAGCAGACAGGCTCAGCAGCCTGCACGTACTCATCTTCCAGGAGAGAAGAGCGATTGCCATACTCACAAGCGCCCCACGACAGAAGGAGTCCCATTAACTTTCTGTCTTCAACCAGGACATTCCCTCAGATGGCTCCAGGCGTAACTTTCAGCCTCCTCCAAGTTACTTCTCCCAGAAATACCTGCAGCACGGCTTAATACTCAGAAAAAGTTCAGCTCTGCCTTTCTTTCTCCCCAATGCCCATCAACAGCAGCAGCAGCAGCCGTGGATGCAAAAGATCAACCAGCTGAACACTGGTCTGTTCCTCTGGAAGGTTTTTTCCTCCCTCTCCAGTATTTATTGGCATGTTTACCAAGCCTACTGCAGAGTAACGGAAAACCTCAGGGGCATTTCTAAATGCTCTCTCTGTCTTTAAGGTTTACTGAGGTCTCTAATAGAGCAAGTTGAAACCTTCTTGTGAACATCAGCTGAGCAACGCTACTGACTGGCTGTATTCATGCCCTGTTTTCCCGAAGCCCCTCGGATGTTGTTCTTTTCACTGCTCAGGCTGGTTGTTTCTTTTTCAAATATTCTTTTTCAAGATCTCTTCCCAATCGTACCCCTCGACCTCAACACCACCATGAAGCAAGGGGATTTTTTTTTTTTCTTTTTTCCTTTTGCAATTTGGTTCCTGAGGTAAGCTTAACGCTTTTCACATTCTTTTATTTTAAAACTCGATGAAGCAGTCACCTCCCTCCCTGGAAGGGAGCAATGGACTCTGGGGAGGGTGACTGCAACAGAGCAGAGGGTTATGCTTGTGTGCTTGACTGCATGCATGAGACGTCCTTGCTTCCCCCAGCTCCCTCACATCCCCCCATCTCACAAATACTCCCTGTGCTTCTGTCTCTGGGACACTAACCCAATATACCCACAGCAGATACCCACCTAGACCCACCTTTTTCCTCTGTCTCACCCCCCCACCCCCCCCCACAGAGATGATGATGGCCTCTCTGCAAACCCTCGTGCTACCTGTGATGACATGGATAGAGGAACCTTTATCTAGAACCTCTTCTTCACAGCCAGAAGCTTGTTAGCGCCTGCCCCCCACTTCCCTTGGGCTTTTTAAGCTGATCAGTGTAGAGCCACGCCGGACTCTGCCTGTCTGACGGAGAGGCTAAACCAGAGAGCTGACACGGTGCATGCGGCCAGCACAGCATCTTCCCCCCCGCCCCATTCTTCTCCTGTCCCCTTGGTATCTGTCACCAGCTCTGTACTGCCTGGAAGGGCAGGATCACCGTGGTCTCCAGAGGGAAGGACTCTATTCCCGCGCCACAGGCAGGCTTTCCACCAGGCAAGTCCCTGGTTTTCAGGGTGCAATTAGAGGAGGGATGCTCACGCAGCAAAAATTCTCTAGCAGTACCTTTCTACAAAGTGAGACGTAGCCACAGCAAACACAAGGGAGTGTTTTATTGCAGGAGGGTGGTGGGATCATCCCATGTAAAGCTGCAGTAGGGCAAAGCTGGGTGGGCAGTTTTGTTCCTCTCTAGCCACTGTCCGTATCCAGCTGGCACCCCTGAGATTTCAGATCGAGCAGAACACACGCAGCACTCAGAGCCCTGCCAGGAGCTCCCATCAAGTTGACGTGTGCTTTGATAACTCCT